CCCCCCCTCCTGCTTTGGGTCATACCCATCCCCTCTCTCCCCCTGGTTTGGGTCCAACCCCCTTTCCCCCCTCCCTCCCCAGTTCAGGCTTGAGCCCCTCTCCCCCCACTTTGGGTCTGACCCTGCCCCCCTCCCCATCAGTTCAGGTCTGCCCTGCCCCTGCTTCTCCCCTATTTGGATCCAACTGTGCTCCCCTTTCTCCCCTTTCAATGAAGGGCCTCTCACTTTTCCTCAGCTTCAGAATGGTAGTGGGGCACTTTAATGAATATCTCCTCACACATTTACAGCCACCCATAATGCTCAGAAAACTATACTAAATTTAGAACAGGAAGTGAAGTGAAGAATAATCACTAACCTGCTTACTCCCAGTGGACGTGTTTACACATGCAATGAATACACAGTCAGGCTACTGCACAGTATAAGGCACAGTAAACTGTATGGAGGAATGTGTCTACACATGCACCCTTTTGGGTTGAGATTTGTACCCAACAGGAGCAGCCTAGTCCAGGGCTGCTCCTACTCTACTTTGACCTCCACCCCAACACCATCCAGGGGGAGCTCCAGGCTCCCCTGAGTGCCAGCCCAGGGGTTGGCCAGAGGGATTGGTTTTGATGTGCGTGGGGCTGGGAGATCTGTTGCAGCTTCAGAGGCAGCGGTCTCTTGGCCCGTTGCCATGGGGATGGGTCCCAATGTGCATGAGGCTGGGAGAGCTGTCCCAGCAGCTTGGAGTGATGCATCCCAGACATGTGGAAAACAGACTGGGACAGCTCTCCTGGCCATGTGGAGATCAGGTCCTGACCTGATTTCCATATAGCTGGGACACACCAGTTCCAGCTGCCGAGACAGGTCTCTTGGCTGAGTGATTTCATGAATTGCATTTGTGATCCTTACCCTATATATAGCTTACACAATGCTAAAAAATGTCCCAGTCCCCATGTGGTAGGGAGACAGCTGCCTCTGCAGGTACTGCAGCTAGCCCAATGTTGGGTTTTAGCCAGGCAGCAGTGGAAATTGCTTCCAGTCAGCATCTACATGTGTTACAGCACATTAGCTAATGCGCCATTAATTTAGTACCTGTATCTGCTGGTACTAGCTAATGGCACATTAGCCTAATTTACTGCACAGTAAATCCTAAGCACATGTAGACCGTGATGCTTTACTGCACATTAAATTAGTCTAGCATGCAGTAATGTGTCTAATTTAGATGCATCCTGTGTGTACTGCTTCATTGCTGAGCCCACTGCTGCTAAGAAATATTTCCTGCTTTACCAAAACCCGGTCCTGACAGTTAGACAACAAACATGGTTCACAGAAAGGGAAAAGGTTTGAGAGAACCTGAGAGCATCAATGGCATGCATACACATACTCTGTGTCATCTACTTTGCCTAATTTTTGGATATGGATGTTTATGCTATATATCAATGTTCTCTCTAAGGTTTAGTGATCTGTGAGCGTGCTGCTTTGGTGAATGAGCAGGCTGCTTTAGTCCCGCCTCCCCCTTTTGGCGCGCTCCACTTCAGAAACCACAGGTGCCTGAGAGGCACCTTGCATACAGCCCTATAAGGGTCAGGGACCCTTAGTGGAGGGACTGTAGTGGAGGGTGATCAGCTTTGTCTGGGGTCAGGGACCCCAGGGGCCTGGGATGAATGGAGAGGAGCCTTGTCTGGGGTCAGGGACCTCAGGGGCCTGGGATGAATGGAGAGGAGCCTTGTCTGGGCCAGGGACCCCAGGGGACCTGGACAACATGTGGAACAGAGCCAGGGGTCTGGAGCCCAAAGAGGCTGGGGGTGCCCCGAGCTCCCGCCTTGCCTCAGGGAGTGAGGAGGAACATGGCATCAGGGCTGGTGAGCAGAGCAGTTCCTCGGAGCTGGTGGAGCAATTCCCTGGAGCCAGCCCCCAGCCCCAGTCTCTGCCCCTGCCTTGCCTCATCTTGCCTTGCCTTGCCTTGCCTTGCCTTGGGGAGCGAGAAGACACATGGCATCAGGGCTGGAGAATGGAGCAATTCCCCAGCACCAGCCCCTAGCCCTAGCCTCCATCCCTGCCTCACCTTGGGGAGTGAGGAGGCACATGGTGAGGAGGCACTCTGCACCAGAACCAGTCCCTGCCCCTACCACCCTGCCTTGCTTTGGGGAGAAGCTGCTGCCTGAGTTTACCTGGTAAGTGTCCCTCACTGGCCCCGGTGCCTCCACTGTACTTCGCGCCTAGCACCTCTCTGGGAATCTGCTGCCCAGCTCCTCTCCAGGCGAGTGCATGGCATTAATAAGTTAGTGCATGGGAAGATTTTAAATTGTACACCTTGGAGGGGACCTTGCTGCATATTGGTCTCATTTTTCAGCTATGGCCCCAGGTTCAAAAGGGAAGCATGGCCTGAAAGTATGTTTTAATTTGAAAGGGGCAAGGAGTTTTGTGAGTCATGTCTTTTATTGGTCTAAGAGGATAGTTGGGAGGGATACAGACAAGCTCTCTGGTACCAAGTGCCCTTTCTCAGGTCTCCTTTTCAGTTTTCTTAGGTTTTAGTTTAAAACAATGTTAGTATCTAAAATGGAATTTAGACAGAAGAGTAGGGCTAAATGTTCTTAGTTTGAAAAATACCATACGGTTTTTAATAGCGTAAGTGATAGACACCTCTGTTGTCTGTCATTCAAAACATTTTACCTCCATCAGCATAGGAATGATATTTATATCTTTTGTGACAGGAACTGTAGTATTAGTTTACAGTAAGGCACTGCAAGTATTTTATGAAGTAAAACAGCTTTCAAGAGAGTCCAGAGAGTCCAAACTCCTGCTTGAGAGCTAGAGGGTGCCATTTCTACTTAAGATTGGATTAGACATATAGGAATGAAGATGAAAGGAAAAGAAGAACAAGGTGTAGAAAAAGCAAACAATACAAAGAAGAATAGAAAAAGGGTGTGAGGAAGCAGTTAGTAAAAAGAACCCTTTTCCCTTTCCTTTTTTCACTTTTCCCTCCTTTGCCAAATCTTTGAAATTATTTAAAAAATATTCCTTTATTAAATGGGGCATTATTAATAAATTTAAGGAATCTCCAGGATTGTGAAACTAGGAACCCAAATGAAATGTTTAATGCATTTAAAATAGATTTAGCACCGTAAGTAACAAGATAGTGGAGATTATAAGTCTACTTCATTTTTTTTCATATTACCGAACTGCCACATATAATTTGACAATTTCAGCTGTCTTTGATCATCAGAGGATGAAGATTTATCTATCATAGAGGCTAATTACTGTTATCGTCTTCCATTGACGATGGTCTCTATAGCCCCGCTTGTACTTTTTGATGGAAAGAAGAGGGCAGCCTTTGATGATTTTAGACCTGTCTCATCAAAAAGTCAGTGGGGCACTACCCTTAATGCTTTCACATTTGAAAAGATAGTAGGAGCATAGCCATCTGCTTTACACCAGAAAAAAATACTACTAAGAAAACTTTGCAAAACATGAAGACATCTTATCCTTCATTAGGACTTCATACACAAACTGCTGAACATTTAAGGGGGAAAAAGAAGGAATAAGCAAGGTAAGTTATAAGTATTGTCATTGTCCCCTTATATCAGAACCTGTTGTGTCTAACCTATGTGACCTCTGTGGACAGAATTTGCATACCATATGAGCGTGTTAATAAGAAGCCCTGTCAGCTTTGGTATAGTTTTATGAGCATGGTTTTAAGAGATACAAAAAGCATGGTGCATTTAGTTGAAAAAAATAAAACAAACAAGCTCTCTCATTAAATTAGAAATAATGCAGTACTACATTGATTGGTTTTAAACTTTGCAGATGAAAAGAAATTAGTGAATAAACAAGCTGAACTAAGCTGTTATAAACAAAACATTCAAATACTCAAAAAAGTAGTTTCTCAAACCTAAATTACCTCTAATTCCTAAAGAAATTAAGTAACTCATTTCATCTTGTTTGGGTTATTTAATTATCTGATAGAAATAAAAAGCAGGGAGCAAGACTGAATCAAAGAAAAGAAAGATTGGCTTTTTGTCTCACAGTGAGACATACAGCTTAGTTGTTAACAATAAAATGCTATAAGCCATATGCTTCGTGTGGTTTCCTTTTAAGCTTGAAATTAGAATGTGCTAATTAGAGTGTGGGCCACATATAAAAATATAGCACTCCATTACAATTGTGCCTGTGTGAAGACTACATTGTTGATGAGTAGAAGACTGGTGCTGTAATTATCTTACAATCCAAGAAGTAATTCACCTTAGTAATTTTTGAATATGTCAAGAGCCTGGTTCACAAATCACTTAATCACTTTTTATGCACTCTTTGTGACACAATTCACTGTATATGAGAAAAGTGACTTGTGTACCAATATCATATAATTTGCTTCAAATTCACTACCCCTCCAACTCTCAGCATGGCAGCTAACAGTACTTAATTTCAGCTCCATTTCTCAGGGCTCTAAATGCCCAAAGAGATGTGCAGCTGTCAATGTTTCAAGCTGCAGGCAAGCTACATGTATTCATAAAGAGAGTTATATAAAATTTCCCAGAATGCCAATAGTCATGTCAACTAGAATAGCCTTCCCCAAAATTACACTGCACTTCATCCTTTATCTGAGCACAGTCTTTGTTTTTCCACCACAGAAAGTACCAGGGAAGTACAATGGGCAAAGAAGACTGATTTTACTAAACTATACAGTGCCTTTCTGATGTATTCTTTTGCCTGCTCCATGGATCACACACAGAGACCATCAAATTCATGTTACATGTAACCTGGTATATTCCATATGCTTGCCTTTAAGGGGTCAGATCATATTGCAATAAACAAATTGGCCGATAGAGCTGTTTAGGAATTTTCTGTTGGAAGGTTTTGATGGAAATGTGGTTTCTGAAAATAAGTTGGAGCTTTTTTCCTACAGAAGATGTCCATTTTCAGCAATAAAACACTTTGTTTCAGTCTGGGTTGACCTGGTCCTTGAGTTTGTCAGACCAAATGAAAATGTTTCATCTCAGTTCTGTTTGACATTGACTTATGTCCACCTGAGGTGCCCCAGTGCCTCATGCCCCTGTTCTCTCCTGTCTTATGGGACAGACTACATCTCGCAGGATTCACTGTGGTCTCTCCTCTGGCTGAACTCCTGTAATCCATCATGAGAGTCCTATATAGACAGATATAGTTCAGTTGTCAGCCTGGTCTGGAGGACAAAATAAATGCATGAGTCAATAATATTACAATTCCCAGTACACAGTGAATCTATTCAGAAGAGTGTAGGTACATTGCCCCCTACTCTCATCCAGTATCTAAAGGTTGACTCCAGGAATCTACTGGTCCATGAGACCAGATTTCATCATTAAATTTTCAGATATCTTTGTATTCTTGAGCTTTCGTCTATGCCATCCCTCACACGTGGCAAAACTTCCTATAAAGAATAACAATCACCTCATGTTGCTCACCTTTGTGACAATGCTTCAAAAAGCTGGACATTGGATAGGGCTTACTGAGCTCACAATTCATCATGTTGAGCAATTTTTTTTCAGTGTACTTTCCCACACATTTGTGTGGGGGGCCGGTGTCCCTTTAAAAACTGTGAAGCCTGGATCTAGTTGGCCCTCTTTGCTACTTCTGTTAAAGGGCAGTAATGAAACAAAGAGGAGGACAGGATAGAGAAGGGGATGGGGGTGGGGGGCACTGGCCCTGACCCAGAAAGTGGAGCACAAAAAATTGCACCAGCTGTGTTGCTTGCCTCACTGCACAGCCAGCAGGCAAAGCAGTGCTGCTGCCTTGTGTACTGCTGCTTCAACTGTCCACTTATACCTATGGTTGAAGGAGTGAGAGGCCAGCAGTTAGGGCCTGGCAGAGAAGAGGAGGATGTGACAAAGAAGATACTCCAGAACAGGAAGTATGGTATAATGTCTACGTGTTGTCCCTAGGCTTAGGCTTCACTTGTGATTTTTCAGTCAGGGTATATCTTTCTGTTCTCTATTTATAAAGCACTTATTGCAGTGGAATTTTGGTCCAGGACTGGGGCTCTTAGCTTCTACAGTAATATGAAATGCAATAAAATCATGGGAAGAAAGAAAGGCCATTGGTTTGAGTCAAAGAGAGCCTCTCTCTCATTTCAAATGTGCATAAAACCAGGTATAAAGCATCTTAGCATTTGTAAGATTTTGCAACTTTTTCCCCCCATATTAATTTATATAAAAGGCAGGCAGCAGCAGTGCAAAATCCCTTGTATTATATAATAAATGTGCCTCAATGCTGATACTTACAGGAAAGAGAGTCATTCATACTCCATCCCCATTTCATCCTTCATCTCTCTGTTCAGAAAATGTGTCTATACAGTAACATTTAAAGTTTTTTCTTGATTTTCTGATTTTTCAATGAGTTTTTACTGAAACATCTGATATTCTATTTTATACAGGTTTGTAAGTCCTACCATCACTCTGTATTCAAGTGCCTTATTGTCTTATGCAATACCACGTTGTAAGTAAAAAAAATAGAGAGGGGGAGAGAAATGCAGACAATACAGTCTTACTGAGTGTCAGTTGGATTGGTATTTTGCTTTGTTTTATTTTGCATGGGTGTATTTAAATTTTATGAGTTGTTTCATTGGGAGATTTGTTTCCAATGAAGTTCTCCCTTCTCTGCATAATGCTAAATAAACTTAACAGAGATTTTGTCTTTACAGCTCTCAAAAGTACTCTGAAGAGCCACTATTTTGCCTTTGAAATGGATTGGGTTGTACTGACTTCCATTTATTTCTTTTTTAAATCTTCCAGAAGAGACTTTGTCTACCTAAAAGTTCTTTTTGCACTTATACACAATCAGACCCCGTTTCAAATTACATAGCTGAGCTCTGTACTATGTGTTCAATATAATTGGTATATTTTTCAACCAGAAAATAAAAATATTATGAGAAAAGTACAGTTAAGATTAGCTTGTTTTTAAAATGATGTTGCCTTATTATTTGGTGATGAAAGTTTTTTGATTTAGTGAATAAAAAGATAAATAGTTTCCTCAATACCTCATCTCTTCTTTCAGGAAACCACATGGGAATTTTCAAAGACTGAAAAGGTACATTTTTGTAGGAACCCTTTATTAAAATACTGACATTCATTGCAGTTTACATAGATACCACTCTACTGAGATTTGAGCACCAAAATCATAGTTTGATCTAAAGTCTGTGGAAAATTCCCCACTGAATTTGTTAGCTCTTGGATTAAGATCTCATTTGACACAGAATATTCTTCAGGTGGTAACAGCTTTCAGTCACTAGCTATGTGAACCAAATTTTGAAACCCTAGGTATCAGCATCCAGTCATATGATTAATACCTTGCTTTCACAGATTGTCCCCTCAAGCTCATTACAGTGAAGTTGACAACAATGCACTACACATTAATAAATTCAGAATTGTGAGTAAACACAGGAGGTGCCTATTTAACACTCTGGGTAGCTCTGACAATTAAGTAAGAACAAATGACAATCCTGAAAAATATGGAAAACAGTTAATAGCAATGCAGCATACAGCATAGCAAGTACATTACACAGTTTACTTATGTGTATTGATGTTGAAAGTAATTTCCTAGCAGTCTTCTTACAAAGATACCTCTTGTATCATGCTCCAAGGTTCAGCAAAATTAAATAATTAAATATTAAAATACTTTATTATTAAAAATCACAGATATGGACTTAAGAGGTTTGGGCTAGATTTCTGGTTCTACCACAGCCTCCCCGTGTAACCTTATACAAGTTGCTGTGGATATGTCTCCCTCACCTGAGCCTCCAGGGCCCTAAGGTGGGCTCCTGCAAGACAGGTGTGGGGGTCCCCAATCCCTGCCCCCCCGGGCCTTGCTGGGCAACCCCCACAGGCCAGGGGGTGGGGGGAGGCTAGCTCCCCCATGGACTCTGTCTGGGTGGAGGTCTCAAACAAGCCCCGGGT